ATAAAAAAGTGCGGAGAAGTCGTGGTCCGTCCTGTGAATGATGTGAGTAAACAACTCATCACAAGCAGTCAAGACGTAATTGTTACTAAATATCACGTCTGCAGCGCTCACACCAAACCGGCAACAAGGTTGACGACGATGATGGCCATTACATAGTGGTTCCCGATGCTGATCTTACCACACAATGTACGTTTTTCCTCGTAGTGACCGGTTTCACGGCAGGTTCTAACCTTCCAACAGACCAAATTAGGAAACTTCTCGGTCAGGGCACCTTTGGAAAAGTTGTAGAGGCTCGAGAGCGGAAGTGCAATAAACTAGTTGCTATCAAAATCATCCGCGCCGTACAAAAGTATCGAGACGCTTCGAGAATCGAGCTACGAGTCCTTCAGACTCTAAAAGCCAACGACGAGAAAAACCGCAACCGATGTATTCATCTGCGGGATTGCTTTGACTTCCGTGGGCATATCTGTATCGTCATGGATTTGTTGGGCCCAAGTGTCTTTGATTTTTTGAAGGGCAACAACTTCGTACCTTTTCCTAACAGCCAAATTCAGAGTTTTGCTCGCCAACTACTAACCAGTGTTGCTTGTGAGTTCTTCATCGAATACAGATTAATTTATGCTGACGCTTGCCAGTCCTTCACGACCTGAATCTTATCCACACTGATCTGAAGCCCGAGAACATTCTCCTCTGTGACGGAGCCTATCAGACCTTCACCTATAATCGGAGGATACCATCATCCACAAATGGGACATGCCGACAGGCAACCCAGCGAAAGGTTCTATTGGATACCGAAATTCGCCTGATAGACTTTGGCTCCGCCACATTTGACGACGAATATCACTCATCCGTCGTTTCTACGCGCCACTACCGCGCGCCCGAGATTATACTTGGCCTTGGCTGGTCGTTCCCCTGCGATATTTGGAGTATAGGATGCATTCTGGTAGAGTTCTTCACTGGAGATGCCTTATTCCAGACTCATGACAACCTCGAACATCTTGCCATGATGGAAAATGTGTGTGATAGTCGAATCGATACCCATCTCGTGCAGACGGTCAATCGATCAGCGTCACGCAATAGTCACAATTCCCCTGCAAAGTATGTTAGACTTCTTGGTGAAATCGACTATTCTAATAGAGGAGTCAGGTATTTCAAACGATTGAAGCTCGATTATCCCACCCCCGACACCACGAGAGCTTCAAGACGATTTGTTCGCAATATGAAACGACTGAGTGTAAGCTAGAATAAAGCCATACGAGATTCACTTTTACCTGACATGATATAGGATATCATTCCAGCAACCAGCCCCTTTCTCCGGCTCTTCTTGGATCTTCTACAAAAGATCTTTGTCTATGATCCCACAAAGCGGATTACGGCCAGCCAGGCTCTGGCACACCCGTGGTTTCACGAGGCTGCTATCCCTGATGATGGAACCGAGGCCTTAAAAATCCGGCTTGAGCGTATGAGGGATAGTGATCACCATACATCCCGCGTTCCCATCGCAGCATAGAGCAACTGGTGCTATCTTTACCGGCAAGTCGTTGATTAGGGCGGGAAAATGTACATGTAAGGGCCTAGGTTTTATATGCATGTTGCGGTTGGGATCATCATATCCTCTTTTCGGCGTGCGTGCACGGTGGAACCTAATCGAAATATTAGCCACTATCACGCGGTTGATGTATCCAAGGTGTCGTGGTCGCTTTACATAGACAAATTTGCCAAAACGGCATTCATGACAAGGGGACTGTGACGTGTGACGTCTTCCTGATGTATACTTTGCGCCAGTCAGTCTCTCATCGGTACGATGAGGTGGATACATCTTGGTCCCAAGGCCTGATTATGTGAAACCAGAGAACTCGGTTATGCCCGGTGGTCGGTGACTTGGCGATCGAGAGAGGTATGTTCACTTTGTTCTCGCGAGTGTGTCGTGCCCTCTGGAACAATACTGACGCTTCTTTCAACAGTTTCCGTAAGGCTTTCTGTCGATTCCACCAGGTGCACAGCCTATCAAGACTCGCAATGTCGAAAACAATGCGCCTATTTCCAGAACAATCACGAAAAGTGAAAAAAGATTCAATATACATTATGAAATTCGGGACAAAGGAATTGCTTGTCCGCTCTTTTCATCCTCATTGACACAAAATCATAAAGCACTCGATGGCATGGAAAGGATGGTCATTGTTTTGCTATTTTGAAGAGAGTGCAGATTGAGAGATATATAATCCGAGCCCATTGCATCCGTTGCTACATTTCACAACGGCTCATACTTTTTCTTGCTGTCTATTCAAGCAAAGCTACCTACATACAATTGATTCATCAAACTCGACAAATCGCATTGCTATTTGTAACTAACAATCTTGCACCGTCACCCCATAAAACCAGACAAACTCTTGCTCTGCGTGTATTTCATCATGAGTATTGGCATTCAAGACCTGTCAACGGAGCTCGTCGTCTGTCTCACGCGAGTTCTTGCTCGACGGCCCGAATATGGCATCGCCAGACCCTCGCGAAGATGGCTTCAGCGGCAGGAAGAGAAGATCCAACATCTCCCCAAAGAACTTTTAAGGTCATCCAACATGTTTAAGCGTCTAGCAATAAAGATTTTCGACAGCATTGATCCCCATATTATGGATCCGCAAGCTGTGCTCTGCTTAACTCATTCCAGACTCAATCCCTTTTTGATCCGAAGGCTTTTTATGGCCCTCGCCTACGAAGTCACAGTCCATACGGATGCCCTTCGATCGTGGCCGGGTAGAACATACGCGCCAGAACTTTCCGCTTTTGTCGGGCGACTTGATTCGATCACGGCGTTGTGGACCCAACCAGCACTCTTTCAAGAGATATACGGGGTCGCTCCCTTTGATGGTCATCATGTTTTTGTCACATCAGGATGCGAGGCCTGCTGTCTTGCAGCTGTGGGTGCCAGTGGTCGAGCCTTGGCAGACCTTCGAGCTGCTCTCATTGATCGCAATGAACGACGTACAGGAAAGCCTTCCGGGAAAGAGCCTCGTCTATACCGTATCGTAGAAACTTGGATCGACCATCTTCGAAAGCACGGTGAGGAGATAGGTCGAGCCGAGGAGTGTAGGGACTTAAGCGAGACTCTTTTACTAGATTTACGAATAGCGCGACCCCAAATCACGGCCTGGCGAGTCGAACGAAAACAAGCTCATGCCGGACAACAAGGGTCACGACGCTCTGTATATACGGAGCTCAGGAGAAGTAGTAGCGGCGCCAAAATTGCTCCTCTACCCAACCATGCACGCCACAAGAGACGAACTAGAAACGGTATTCCGTTAGCCGTAGTTGATATTGAGGGAACCGAACACGGAAGGGCTGCCGTATCAAACCGGAGATGTGAAAGCATCTATCGCCCCGATAGTCTTACTGGATGTTCTGAAGTCTACAGGCGACAAGAATTCGCTCATGAACTGCCTATTGATGGTCGCCCAGATGTGCCGGAGCCTGATCGCGTGAGCGGAACTAGCGATGGCTCCCCTACTCATTCATTTCTTCACCGTTTCGAACAAGAGGTTCCCCTTAACAACGACGAGAGTGATAATGGCGATGAAGATGATGATGCTCAAGAGGAAGACGAGAGGGATTATTATGAAGAGGAACGAAGCCGAGTCAAAGTCCAGGAGTGGTACTCTAGCCGATTGGCCGAGTCTCATACTAGCCAGGTCCAGGACGATTCAAAATCGGTGATCTCAATGGTACACCCTGCATTTCGCCCGAGCGGTAGTCATATAGCTGCGTCAGCTATACCCGCACCCCTTCAATTCAAGAAGGACCGCGAGCAAGGGAAAGATAGTCCCCGAAATCACCAAAGCCTTGTCAGCGAATGGACGAATTGCACCATGTACACGACAGACGCTAGATCTATGCCTACCACCGGGGAAACACCGCCGGTACCAACTATCCCATCCAAATACGGAACTCGGCACGAAACCTCGAAGACACCCCTCGAAGCAAGCCAAGCACCTCAGAATGCCATAACTCGCGTTCCGTCCAACAACGATCTTTTTGTAATGGGACCAAAGTCTATTGTGCCTACCTCGTCTTCTTTCAAGAAGCACGAAACTCTCCGCACAAACTGGCCCGCTCCACCAGAAGTTCCTTTCACAATCAGAAGCAACCCTGGTCCTAAACGATGCTTTGTCTCTGACTCGGATCTGGGTTCCAAACTTTCTCATCACAGGCAGGAATTCCTCAAGGAACGCTTCAAGGTCAAGGAGCCCCTCGATGCGTCTATGGTTCACTCCATCCCATCCCGAATTGTACAAATGGACAGCTCACAATCTTCAGGTTCTAGCACGATCCCATCACTTTCATCGTACGGAAGTACAACGGAAGACTCGAATCCAGAGAAAACGCCGGCGGATTCACATTCAACGGGAAGTGAGATGGTCCCACAGCCCGTAAGTATTGAAGATGGAAGCGACGGAGAAGAAGGTGTGGAGGTAATCAAGCCCGATGACTCGGTTAGTAACGTTTGTTGGAACCGCACGAGCGTTTCCTCCGTGACACAGTTGGATGTCTTTAAGGACAAGATGTGATGGTAACAAAATATCGTGCTGTGCGCATCGTAGTTCACCGTTGGCAATTTTGTAGGTACTGTTTACCGACGCCGTACGTCCGTACTCTTGTACCTCAACCCAGTTGACTACCTTCAAAGATATTCTTCATCTACGGCAAGAAAGCCAGCGCCGCTATTCGGGGTACATAAGTATGCGAAACAGCAGACGGCCGAAGCTGTTTTTGTTGAAAAAAAATTGATATAGAATACATTACTTTCTATATGGCCTTTAATTGTAGTGTATGTATATACGTTCACTTCCAAGTTCCCTTGTTGACTGAAATTGTAATTGGTCCTATGATAGACTCTCTCATGATCTCTGGAACAATCGTAAATGCTGTCGTATTTGGTAAATATCCTGATGTTTTCCGAAGAAATTGTCTATTTTCGTCGTCTTTTTATATGGTCTCATCAACATCACGGGCGAATGGTCTAGAGGTATGATATTCGCTTTGCATAAGTAAGCTGACTGTGAACTCATTTTACACGATGGTTGCCTTTGGCTGTAATAGTGTATTGCGAAGGGTCCGGGGTTCAATTCCCTGTTCGTCCATGTTGTTTCGCCGTTTTTTCTTTTGATAACGTACTTATATTTTTCGGCATCCGCGCTTGAATGGTTTAATAAACTTATTTATTTATTTTTCATGATTTAGTTACGGGTTTGTTATAGTGACAGGGTTTTCAGTGCCTGTGTCACTATGATGACCATGCTTGTGAATGGTGCGCGCCGAGGCTTCTGCTTGCGTTGCTTGTCCTCGCTACAGCTGCCATGTTACCCTCGTCAGAGGGTGCTTCCATGGGAGAATGCGCCGAGGCAAGAGCTGGAAGAAGTAAGTCAAGTACTTATCTATCGATGCTATTGGTTTTGCGTCTGAAAAGAATTGCTAGAAATATCTCAATATTTCTCAATATTGTATAAGTATGCGAGTCAGATATTTGACGGATGAGCGAATTGCTTATATAGGTAACTCGAGACAACCCCCTCGCCCGGAGCATATCCCCGGCCCTATTTTGGCATCCACCGCCGTGTAAAGCTAATATTCATGGATCAATACAGTAAAGATCCTTAGACGGCGCCAAGTCTAGCAAATGATCCACACCGTTCATGTCTCTGTCATGGTGTCGTTGCGGTGGCGCCCTGTCGACGGTACCACCACACGGTCGTTTTGTGCCTCTTTATCGGATCGTGCCTTGTCTAAAATAGGCTTGTTTGAACAGCTCCCAAATGCTGTATCGATCTAATTGACCCTGCACGCCACCTGAGATTATGCAGTATAAAGGAAGGACATTAAGCCATGTGTTAGTCATTAGAAAATTTCCTTCTGGCTGTTGCCACAGAATTAGGATATCAGCTCTTTTGCATTCATTGTTCTCCTGCATGTTCTAACAACTTCTGAATGGCAGGGAGGAATTCTTGTGCTTTCCTGAAGTCCCCGAGTTTGACGCGCATGTAGTCAAATGCAACCAATATAACATCATCTATTTTCGCCTTGTCTTCCGCTTCAGCGCTGTTACTAGTGGTATGGCCTTCTTCCCTCGCAGGAATTTTCTGATACCTCTGGGAAAAATGAGTCAAAAGGATCCTTCTCGCACCCATTCTGCGACCCACGTTTATAGCTTCTGACATAGTGGAATGCTTTTTAGCTATCGCGTCCCCTTGTAAAGTGTCTTCAAATGTGCTCTCATGTATCAGAATTGTAGCGCCTTTGCCAATCTTCACAAATGCTTCACTTGGGCGACAGTCGCCCGAGTATGCAATCTTCAACCCCGATGGCAGGGTAAAAGCTGTTGCCATGGACCCATAACAATGATTTACCCAACATGCTTCAATTTTTTGCAAACCAAACATCTCGGTTTCTTTGTTGCTAAATACCCGTGTGGGGTTACTAGATGACGAGCCTTGGGACTTGATAAATGGGACGAGTAATAAGCGGTCGAAACCAAACGGTTCCACGTCGGCATATTCTTCTAAAAACCCAATCATGGTACGGTGTGAGGCTACAACAAGCTTGGAAGATGGATCGGACCTCTTTGTTTCCTCGTGCCAAGCTTGTATGACTGGAACCGTACCCAGGTGATGGTCCGCATGGAGATGACTAATCCAAATAACTTTGAGATCCCGGAGTACAGACGGCAGCTCATCACCAAAAACGCGCCGTAACTGTCCAATGGTGTTCTCTCCGGCGTCAAAAAGATAGTTCCCATAACCCGGTACACGAACTAAAGTGGCAGAAACGTTGCGGTACTTGGAGGGTAGCGCCGAGCCGGTACCAAGTGTTATAATTTCAGCGTCCCTGTTGGGAATATCGGCTTCGGCTTCTTCGACTTCTGCAATGAATTCAGGTTTTGAAACTTTATTTCTGGCTTCGGCGGCCATTTCCATGGCCTCCTTATCAGTACCACTTCGAGCGAGTCGCGGAATATTGGGGAATGGTAATATCTTCTCGTCTTGGTGGATATAATCCGGTGCAAACTGTACGACTTTTCCGATGCGGCCGGTCTCGTATGTGGGGGAATTGACTGTTGCGGTGCCTGAAAGTGATATCTCATTGCTGTAGGAGGGCAGAGGAAAGCGGTCAGAGTCGATACAACGCAGCTTGTAGGATTGAGTCGCTGTGGATTCTAAGGCAAGCATGTTTGGACAATTATCGGGCGACGTGACTATGTGTCTCACGGCGAACATTTTCCGCATGAAACCCTGCAGTCGTGCGTTACTAGCAACGTCACGGCCTAAGATCCAGTAAATTACGGATATGCCCTTCATCTTGTTGCTATCTGACCATTCAGATCGGTTAACCAAGTCATCGATGTAGGAGATATCTGGCAGGTCAACGACCGCGAAGCCGTTGCCAGCAACAGTTTCTTCCAATACCATTTCCGGTGTCACCACAGTTCCATCCTGCGCCGTAACGTTCTGCATATTCGTCAGGAGTTTATAATCGCTCTTCTTCACACCCAATCTCTCCGCTTCTTGTGGTTTGAATCTACCTCGCCTGGCGTGCCCTTTCACGATATAACACATGGAATGCCGAGAAGGTTGCGTCCCTGGGAGGGCCGATATACGGGCGCCTGGCCATGGTTTCCGAACAAGAACGGGAATATCAAGAACTTCCTCCCCAGAGCTAGGGAAAGGACCGGTATATTCCTGAAGATGGCCATTCTTATCGCGTACGAAAAGCTGAGCTGGTAGCTTTGCTCTATGTAATGTGGTTTCGGTGAGGGCATCAGTGCTCCATTCGGAGTCGAACATCTCCTTGACCACGGCCTCCACGATCCTTTTTGGGTCCTCGACCGAGGAAGTAGGTGATGTTGGCATAGTCCCGTTCCTGAATTCATCATGGGACCGCTTGCGTGGCTTGGCAACGGCAGTGTTTTGCTGGCTGGACTCAAGGAGCATATACCATACATTGATGTTTTCATCTTTCCAGTCCGGCTCAGGGGAGGATGTACCTGTGCTGGAAGGATCATTTGGTATCTCATTTAGCCGTAGGGGAAGACCTTTCCGAAGAACAAAGCGGCGACAAGCAGCCAAGAAATAGGAGATATTGTTCCCCGCGTGGACACCCAAGCTAGGCAGCGTGGTGACAGGGACGCCATTTTCCACCCGTACCTTCCCTTCATTGATGGCGGAGTTCAACGACGCAGTCAATGTATCGGCAAGGGTGAGAATCAAGCCGACAAGACCGCCGGAAGTGCCCCAACTAACGCGGCCGCTGATGAAGAGTTCCTCTACCTTGCCAATTGAAACCTTGCGCTGGCCGAAAGCGCGTTGGGTTCCCTCAGCAACATGGCCCAGAATGTAACGTTTGTTATCAAAATGGAGCAACAGCGTCGTGCCCGGGGTATCGGCAGTGGGTGTGGTAATGATCTGGACGTAGGTCAACATCCTCTTAGCTAGAGCCAGGGAAGGGCCCAGTAGAGACTTCTCGGACTTGGGAGGCTTGGGGCTGCTTGAAATGAAAAGGTCGCCCTTTTCGCATTGACCGGCAGGAGATGCTCTTAAGCTGGATGTCGAGAAACTAGACTTGTTAAGGAGCCGGGTTGAGGACGGCGGGGTGTGTTCGAAGACAGAGGATGTGCGAGGGTTTGGAGTCGCATTCGCGTGCTTAGAAGAAATCAAAGAAATCACCCCGCCTTTTCTGATTACCGCACTTCTGAGCTTCATAGAGGTTTCAGAAGTGGTAAAATAGCAAAAGAAGGCGATCTGGAAAAGGACCGCCTTGCTGTAGGTTTTGGACCTCAGTGATGAAAGATGAAGCTTCTCTGGAACTCTCGTCTTTTTTTATTGTACGTCCGTATATACAGTACAAATGCATAGATATGTATTTACCCAAACGTGATAACGTACGAACATAATTTGGAGCACGGAAATGCAATTGGTGAAGTAGGTAAAATGAATGCGCCACCGTTGTACGTCCGTACTTCGCACCTATTCTTCCTACCTAGGTACACAAATAGTGTAGTGTAGGCACGAAGTCAGTCAATCAATACACTACCTATGTCTTGCCTCGCGACCGATTAATCTCATATTTGCACAAACAAGGCGGTCTGGGAGAATTTCTCCAACCATATCGACAGGAACCATTTTCAGCCAAGAAGCCAGCCCAGCACCGTATCTAGAAGTGAAGCAGTTGGGATTGAAGGCAGATTTGGCCAAAAAAATTTCAGTGAAATTGACCTAGTGAGACAATTGGAACGGATTTTTCCTACTTAGTTTTCAGAAGTACGGATTACGGAATATAAAAAATACCAACTTAGTTGGCGTCTTAAAATTGAATTGACACGACTTCGGCCGGACTCGAACCGACAATCTCTAGAGAAGTGTGATTAACACCGAAATCTAGCGCCCTAGCCATTAGGCCACGAAGCCACCGAATGAAGCGGAAGATGCGGAAACTGAACTTATGTAAAGAGTAATGCGTACTCAAAACAGAAAATCAGGATGTACGCCATCACAACTACCTATTCCGTATTGACTTGCTTTATCTCCTTTAGAGCAGCTTTGCAGCCTGTTTCTTTGCTTAGCAATATATTGTCTTTTTCACTCACATCGGTCCCAAACAGCAACAAGATCCCGTTGTTTCAGAATTATACATGGTCCATCGACATTACCTAAGACTCCCATAATCCTGCCTTGCCCTGCCTTGCCCTGCCACAATACCGAAAAGAATACCTGGCTGGACTTTTATCGCCGACCAGTTGTCAAAGAATTCGAGGATCCCATGGTCGCCATTTTTTTTTGGATTGGTTCGGACCCCCGTCTGTTAGATATTTTTTGTCTTCCGGCAGCCAGGGAGATGGAGTTGAACGTACAAATCGTCAATTCTACCTAGTGACAATGGGAGGGCTCGCTTTAACATCGTCGATATCCGAGGTTAATATTCCGTACACTATAGGCTATTAGCCGCCGACGATGGCAGTAGGGCCCATAATAACGATATAGCGACCTATAGGAGGGATAGGAAGGGTGCCGTATGTCCGTATCCCGAACTTCAATCGACTCATCAGTACTGGCGAGTCTGTTGCAGCACAGGGCTTCACCCATTTAATCCTGATAAAATTCTACAACAATATCTATCCCGAGGTGCGTCCTTTATTACGGGCGTACAGGATCTGCCAATAGGTATGTCAACAGTCACCGCGACGACTACAATTGGTATTAGAAGTGTGTTTGCATCTGATCCTAGTGTCGATTCCATCGCCGATACCATCACCAAGTGTCGCTTAGTTGATAAAGTCAACATACCTAGTCGCATTCGACCTTCTAGCGGCATGTCCGACTCCTTTACTCAAGAATGCGGTAATTTTACAGAACACATATGTGTCGAACCTAGCAGATAATCAAGCGCTTGAGGCTGTCAACCAAGGATTGGTAGAGAAACAGAGAGAGACACGTAAAAAGAACAACAAGGCATTTGGTACTACCATAATGTTGCGGGCGGCGGACATGATTGAGCTGCAGACTAAGCAGCTGAAGGATCAACAGGAAAAACTAGGTAGACGAGAAGACATGTAAGGCAGCGCTTAGAGGTAAGGTAGGATTCGCGAAATTAGTATGGAAAGAGATGCCCATCACGGTCGATGAATTCATTTAATTACCTACCTACCTAGGTAAATAGAGTAGGTACGCGTTACGGACGTATGCGTATGCGATGCGATGATATTCCATGATTCTACGGACGTATCTACCTACCTTTGGTGTAAGCGGGTGCGCTTAGCTGTGTGTTTTCGGAGTTTTAGGTTAGCCACATTGGTATCGGTTATGTTATTCTACGGACACTACGGAATACAACTGCTCAGACTGGAATGGTCAGCATATTCTAAATCCTTATAAATCAAATCACATCACTTGTCAACAACTTTTTTCCGCAAATACCTAGCCCCTCCCAAGCGGAATGGCGCTACTATCACGAGTGGCTCGCAAATCCGCGTCCTGCCGATCAATCCCGCTCCGATGCACATGCAGGGTCCAAATCAATAGGTAATTGTAGTCACCTCGTGCATAGCTCCAACCAGTGCTTGTTAACCACCGACATAAAATCCAGTTCCCTTCTTCACATCTCTCTTCCATGCCCTCTCCGCCACCTCATCACCACCACCGCTGCCACCATGTCAAAGCATCCCGATTTCAAAACAGTAGAAGCCTCTCGTCCGGACTGGAAGACGTCCGGCTTCCGGGTGACCAAGACCGCCGATCCGGACTGGAAGCCAGGCCAAGGCGTGAACCACCTCGATATGAACGGCAGCGCCAAGAAGCACGTCTTGATCAACCCGTTCGCGGTAGGCCAGACACCAATTGCTAACTACAAGCTCCTGATATCCGGCATAACGCCGCGCCCAATCGGTTTCGTGTCAACGCGCACGGGTGGAGCAGCGCGTACAGGCACAGAAACGCTCAACTTGGCACCCTTCTCGTACTTCAACATAGCCTCGGTTGACCCACCATTGTTCACGCTAGGCATCGCGTCGCCGCTCTCGCGGCCCAAGGACACGCTGCGCAACCTAGTCGAGAATGGTGAATGTACCGTGAATATCATTAGTGAGGATTTCCTGGAAGCTGCGAACAGCACCAGCATGGACTTGCCGCCATCATTTTCGGAGTGGGTAGTATCGGGGTTGACGCCCGTGCACGACGTTGAGACGGTGTCGACGCCGAGGGCGCAGGAGGCTGTATTCGCTGTCGAATGTCGTGTCGAGAGCATCCGCGAATTCGAGAGCCGCATCTACCCGGGTCAGAAGTCCTCTGTCCTCGTCTTGCTGGAGGGCCAGCGCTTCTGGGTGCGTGAGGACGCTCTAAACGAGGAGACCAATATGATTGCGCCTGAGGTGTTGCGGCCTATGAGTCGTCTCGGTGGTATTATGTACGGGCGCACTGTCGAGGCGGTGGAATTGCCGCGTCCCATCTTTGAGAGGGATCTCGGCGCGGAGGCGTATGAGGCATTGGCAAAGAAGGCAGGCGGGAGCAAGGAGTGAAGGGGGCGTCTCGTCCTGCCTCTTCTCTCTTGTTTTCTTTGCTTGTGAGATGGCATGACCCAACGACGTGCTATGACTTCGTGTGGAATGAAGCGTGTCGCGCCAATAACACATATTTGTATAGCACACCAGGATCGCGGTATATAGTGCATAGACACTAGAATTCAGCACAAGCCTACAGCTATAGAATCAGCGCAATTAATATACAAGCTTTTACCCTAGGAAAATTTCATGACTCATTGAAAAGTCGTGATCTCCCATCTTGTAATATCCGAAGCTCTATGGTATCTAATAACGCCGAACACCGAGTGCCCCGTTAGACTGTAAAATCAGCCATGGGTGAAGCCCAGGGTCGATGGAATATATGTGGCCCAACTACAGAAGAAAACTTTGTCCGGGGCCTGAAATTACGAACTCGCAGCCCAGTTGGGCCTCCTCTTCGGCTTCTAGGAGTTGTTCAAGGATTATATCCCCCGGATCGTCCCCGTCCACCAGTTTCTCTTTAATGTGGATAATCACTACCTTGAGGCCCTTAAGGGCGTTCGCAAATTGCGGGGTTCGAATGACTGACTTTGTTTTACATTCGAAGTCTGCTAACGACATCTCCGCTGCTGCTGTTGGCAAATGTGGTGTATTGGTGCCACCTTGCTCCGCGCTTGTCATGGACACTGGCCCTTTCTTGGCAGGCCTCCCAGATTTGGGGGAAAGAGGGCGATCTTCTCCATTGGGCCCGATTCCGACTTCAACAACGTAATTATTGGTCACTGAGAGCTCTCGCTTGCGCTTTTTAGTCAAGTCTAGCCTAGAAGCCTGCCGAGCCATTTCGACGGCAAAGCCGAGCGCTTGCATCTCTTGTATGACATAGCGGGGTGAGAGATGACCGAAAAGGCGGTCGTCCGACTGGCTATTGTCATACGAGCACTCTATGAATATGGCGGCCAGAGTTCCGTTCGTAATGCGAGTTGCTGCTTCCTGCCAAACACTTAGGTTGCGGGGAGAGAGCGAGATGACATCAGGCTCGACGTCACCGAACATCAGTATTTCGCGGCCGGTATCGTTGTCACGGATGAAATATGCGCTTGAATCATACACGCAGATAGGATCTTTATCCTGAACCATGGCGGCCGAAGTCTTGAATAAAGACGGTGGGCCGGACGCAGCAGTACTGCCAGGTAGAGTTCTCGGAGACACCGCCATCGAGGAGGCATCAAAGCTACCAAAGCGGGATGAGGCTGACGAACCACGATGGGCGTGTCTCTCGATGCAATGGCCGTGGCTGATGCCGAATATCTTGACACCCAGACCTTCAGTAATCTCGAGATAACCTTTTCCATCTCCTTCGCCTAGTGCCGGGCTACCCCCTTCCACGAGGCGCATGTAGGTCACCAGGCCAGCCCCATTGTTCTCGTCTGACAGATTAGGCCAAATGATATTGTTGAAGATGTGCTGTTTGAACGCCGAGATAGTAGAAGGCAGACCTGCTAGTCGCTTGGGTCTCGTTCCTGGAAGTCCTGCGGTGTTGATGACAAAGCCGCTGATATGATCAAGATGAGGATGAGTGATAAGGTATGTGTCAATAAGGTGTCTCGTGACATAGCCAGCATTCGTACTTGCAGAAGTCGACATAATCTCCAGTCCAGCAAAGGGCCCCGTTTCAAGAGTATGTGGGAGCGAAATACACGTACCTAGACCTGGAGGTTGCGTATTTTCCAGAATCTTGGTAATGGATGAGAGATGAACGCCAGCGTCCAGAGCAACAACGGATCCCTTGGACCATCCCGTCTTCAGTGAGCGCACTAGGAGGGCCGTAACATTGTGCTCAAGAGGGCCCCCTCCTGCACCCTACGGATGGCATTTTATGTTAGTGAATAGGACAAATCAGGGTTATCTGGTTTCTATATTTAAAACCGATAATTGGAAAAGCCGAGTGACACGGAACAGAGAAGAATGTGTCTGGTGCTAGCAGCTGGGGTGACCTCAGTGGATATAAATGAGCTATGCATCTTGGTTGAGCCTCTCGTTTGCTGCGTGTACCTAAAAGCCAAATAACAGCGAGTATGACGATTCTCTTGTGCGGCTCTTATCGTAAATCACGAGTCCTCGTTTCTGTGCTTCTCGTCTCCTTTTCGTAATGTTGGCCGATATCTCGCTCAACTTGGGTGACGGACAGCACGGGGCTGCCAAGGCCACAGAACCTTTACTTACCCCGCGAACAGCTTAGTGCGTTATATTGTACGGAATACTTACCTATGGGTCTGTGACATTTGACATTTGGAGATCTGCAATCTAGCTGGTGGCTGTCAAGTCTGTGCTGACGGCTCATACCAAGATGAAGATGGCAATGAAGCGCCACATCACGTGCCCAAATGACCAAGACGAGGCCTCGACTGCAACCGT